CTTGCGACCAAAAAAATTCTACTCCTTTTCTCGACAATCTGTTTATAGATATGCATATCTCTGCAAAATTCGGAATAAAACGTCTATAGTAATTACAAAATGCTATGAATCTTTTGGCTTCTTCCGCATTCTTCGGTGTCGGGTAGTTCTCTATTGTCGAATATTTCGCTTTATCCGGCGATACTCCTTCCTGCGACAGATCATGTCCCAAATATGTAACTTCTTTTCTAAAAAATTGACATTTTGCTGGGTTTAGCTTCAAATTAAATTTCCGACATATCTCAAATGTCTTTTTTAAGTTGTCTAAATGATGCTTTTCTGTTATTCCTATTACTACTATGTCGTCCATATACAGAAATGCTTTCTCCGGTGTTAAACCTGTAAATGCTATTCACATCATTCTCGAAAAGCTATTTGGGCTTATATTTAGTCCAAAAGGTAATCTGGTAAATTGAAATGCTCCTTTTTCCGTGCTAAAAGATGTGTATTTCCTTGATGACTGTTCTAGTGGTATCTGATGAAATCCTGACATTAAGTCTATTACTGAGAACCATTTTGCTCTACCTAGTTGGTCTAATATTGAGTCTATTCTTGGTAACGGAAATTTATCTGTGACTAGTTTCTTGTTTAGCTGTCTGAAATCTATACATAGTCTCCATGCTTTGTTTCCATCTATAGCTTTTTTCGGTACTAGTACGACTGGACTGTTGTATTCTGATGTCGATGGCTCGACAATTCCTTGGTCTATTAATTGTTGTACTTGTCTATTCAATTCTTCTGTCTGCGAATGTGGTGTCCTATAATTCTTTATGTAAACTGGTGTGTGTTCTTTTATTCTCAATTTTTGTTCATAAAAGTTGTTGCATGTTAGCATATCATGTCTTAATGCAAATATATCTGCAAAATCTTCGCATAACGATACTAATTTATCTCGAGTGTATTCCGGTATATCTAGCTTTAATGTTTCCCGTAGTTCTTTCTTCATGTCCTTGCTGTCGTTGATTAATCTGTATACTTTAAACAATTTCATGTCTGATGTTTTGATTGTACCCGTCTCTATCGTAGCAGTTTCGTAAGTCGTATTTAAAATTTTGATATATGGGTTATTCCTTGATATTATCGCTCTCGCTATGAATATTCCTGGTAGTATCTCCTGTTGTTCCACTAGTCTATCTGCCTTTAACTTTTGAAAATATTGAACTGTTCTGTAAACTTCGCATCTGGGTGGTATTATAATTGTGCTATCGTCTACAGTATCCAAAATATTTGTACTGATGTAATAGTTTCTATCATTTTTGATATGTATTTTCAAATTTGCGTAATCTAATATGCATTGAAAATTTGTGATAAAATATCTTCCAATTATTCCGTCTGTTGGTATAGGAAAGTTGTTTTCTACCAATTGAAAGGTATGTCCAAAAAGATTGCCACGTACGTCTAGCGTAGTTTCGATTTCTCCCATTGTTTGTAGTTCTCCTCGAGTTACTCCTTTTATTCTTGCTTTTGAGTTCGGTTTTACATATTCTCTCATAGAGTCTTGTGTACATTTAAGTATTGAAATATCTGCTCCTGTGTCTATAATAAATGTATTTACTTGTCCTAAGATTCCTGTTTTTATTCTTACGAAGTTTGTAAGGTTTAAGTCGAAATTGTAGATAAAATATTCTGATTCTGTCATTTCATCCGTCTCAGATGAGAGTTGTTTGTTCAAAACCCCAACTGTGGGTTTTCTGATTCCTGCGGACTATCTTCTAGTACTAATAATCGTATATGTCTGTTGAATCCTCTTGAATTTCCCCTCTGTGAATGGTTATCAAATTTTCTGGACCCTTTTTGCTCATGTTGACGGTGGTCTCTTTTTCCATTGTTTTGTTGCGAGAAATTTGGTCTTCTCCACTGGTTATATCCATTATGATATCCTCTTTTGGTCTGGAATTTCCCTCTTTTGTTATAGTATGTTTCATAATTTAACACTCTTCCATGTACATTGTCTTCTGTTGTGTCTATTGATAGGAATTTTGACATCACCTCTTGTGGGGTTGTGAAATTGCCTGCCTCTAATATTAGCTTGACTTTGTCTGTGCTGGCGTTACGTTTCATCGTAGCTACTACAGCCTCTGTTGTATATTTCTTAGCTAAATCTCCTGGCATTCCCTCTGTTATGTATGCCACTTTTAATTGTTCGGCTAATGCCTCAACCTCGGCTGCGTACACAGCTGCATCTTTATGTCCTGGCTTCTTTTTGTCTAGTTTTGCTATCACCGTTTTCGGCGTATCACCTTTTAGTTCTCTCTTCAGTGTTGCCTGTATGTCTAAAATAGTGTCTTCTGTGGTTATTAAGTTTCTGGCTTTATTTGTTAACCTTGTTTTTATGAGGCTTATCGCTGTTTCCTCATGTCCTACTGCTATTTTCTGTAAAACTTCGAGCGCGTCCACGAAGGATTGTAGTTTGCCTGTGGTTCCGTCAAATTCACTTGGTAAGATTTTGCTTGCAATGTTTAAAAATTCATTGATGCTAAGCGCCATGGTTTCTTCTTGTTCCGTGTCACTTTGATCTTCTTCTATATTCTTATCAATTTGTTGATTTATCAGATTAGGAACTAATATTCTGTAATTTATAGCTTGAAATGATCGTATGACTTTGTCTCGGTTTTTGTTGAAGTATCTCTTACAAGTCTCTCTCTGGATATCAGTTAGGGCATCCCAATTTTTGGTTATGAGGTGTACCAATCTATTATAAGCTTCAATTATTTGTGTCGTTATCTCAGTTTTTACCTCCTTGCTTTTAGGTATCTCCTTTTTTAACACTCTTTTGCTCTGCTTAGTAATATCCTGCGTAATGGCTTCAAGTATTTTGACAAAATCTTCCCAACTGCTAGGCATTTAAGAACGAAAACACAAATCCGATAGTCTTATGTAGTACGATAAAATTCGAGAATAATGTAGCAAAAAAAAATATAATATCGTCAAATACCCATTAAAATTCAATAAATTCAATAAATTTAAATAAATTCAATAAATTAATAAATTAAAAATTATCCATACTAAAATATAAGTGAAATTATCTTTAAAAAGTCATAAAAAATAATAATTAATATTTAACAAAGTAACTGCTATGTTAATATACGTGTGAGGAAGTGCAAAAAAAATAGATAATATGCAGACTCACCACTTAAACGTCTAAATTTGTTGTCGATCTCGCTGCCATGTCCCGGTGTATGCTCCGCTTCATATTTCTCCTATGCGCCTTCCATAACGACCATACCAATTTTAGTATCAGGACCGTGGTAATGATGTATAAGAGTACCTTTATTTCTTCGCCTGGTCTGACATCTTTACTTTTTACTATGAAGTTGCTGTTGACAACTCCATTCTCCTGTAGGTCTTCCTTGGATGACTTTCCTCCCATTCTATACTTCTGGAACGAAGACTCCTGGTTTCTACCAATTCAGGATCGCCATATGGTAAATATTATCTTGGGTAGTAAATAATATTGTTGTATCTAGTTGCCCATTTATTAATCACTGCTTTGTACAATATTTCACTATTATAAACTTAAATATATCAGTACTTAATTGACGCTGGCCATAGTGTCGGTATAATAATTAAGATCCCCGAGAATGATTGGTGTTGCTTTTAATAGCTTCGGCCTTGCTGACTCAGCGCTCTTGTTACTATTCGTGTCAAGTGTATTCCCTGACCTACACCACAAGTAAGTCGTGCAATTTTACTAGAGTGCTGACTGGCTGTTTTAATTAGAGTATGTTATATATGAATGACCTCGATTTAAATTACCGAATGTTTACATAAACAAAATGTTACACGAGTATGAATTATAATATTATTTTATCTGTAATTCTGATATTTAAGGGTTGATATTACACGCAAAGTCATCCCTACCACTACTTTTGTGCTATCGCTTAAAAAAAGGTAAACTTTATTCCTTATTTTTAACAATAAATAATTATTTTAATTTAAGGAGAATACAAATACTTTAAAATATAGGTTTTTAAGTATTGAATGACGCCAGATTCGTTTCTTAATCGTTATTATTAAAGCCTCTGTGATTTTTTTTACAAGTTATGCTAACTCGGCTCCTATTGATCGTAGCAAACTTTTTTTTAAATCTTCGTCTCGAAGCTAACTACAATAATCTGCAAATTAGAAATTTGTAGGGTACATAGGGGGCGCTGAAGCTCTAAATGTTTATAACTGCGATTTTACAACTTCATAAATAATTCTTTTTAACGGGTTAAAAAATTTTTTCAATATTTTCCAGTGGAACATGAAAATTTACGTCTTTAGAAAGAGAATGAAACAAGAATTATCCCTCTACCATTTTTTTTGGCAATCCTATGAACATTCATAGTTGGGATAAACTAATTAACGTGTCTCAGCAACAAATTAATTGATCTAGGTCTACTACTAGTCTACTAGGCTCATTCGATTCGTAATTATATAGGCTTGAATGTCATTTAAAATAAATAAAAAAGCAATTTTGTAATAAATATTACGTTTTTTAACTTTGACCTTCATTCGTCATTTTTGCAATAACAAAAAAATTAAATTGAACGTTTACCGGCTCAAATTGAAGGTCTTTTAGAGTACTTTCATAATCTATACAGAAATTACCCATTACAACACTTACTTTAGGCAAAAAATGAAAAAACTCAAAAAGTACGTATTTTGCACCTATAAACGCTCGTAAATAAACAACAACCAAAAGTTTGTTGAATGAACTGGAGGATTGCTCCTGAGGTTACCCTTTATAACCTAGGCCACATTACATAAATTCCTGGATTACAGTGTAAAATCACCCTTTTTTCCCCACAGCCTGGGTTAATACAGTTGTACAATATACAAACTTTTTCAATATCATTAAAATCTATAAAAAAATCTAAAAGTAAATAATGAAATTATTTTATTTAATTTTAAAATCTACTATCATCTAATCTACCACTTATTACGAATTCATTTAAACCATTGCTTTTAATTTTTAGCTCATATTATACCTGGAATATTGATGATATGTGTCATTTTCATTGGTTGCAATTGGGTGCCATTAATAGTTTTATTAACGCTTAGTATGGCTATTAATGGAGCAGCTGTATTAACCAATTTACAGAACCCTCAAGATCTCGCACCCAACTTTGCAGGTTCTATTTTCGGAATTATTAGTTGTATAGGTGGTACTACTGGATTCTTAGTGCCTGCGATTACAGGAGCATTTATTCACAATAACGTAAGTATACATAAAATATTGTAGTAAAATATTTTCTATTACTTATATTTCAATTTATTTTAAAATAAAATCAAGTAAAAATAAATGACAGGCAATTGAAATGTAATAGAAAGTACAGCAAATAAAATAATACAAAAATCAGAGAAATAATATTAAAAATGTAAATTTACAAGAGGCAACTTACTTAGAGCGAAGTCTTATTTATAGTCAGAAACAGAAAAAAGTCCAAATAAACACTAAAAAAGAGGAGAAAAAGACCTAGCAACCACCCGATGTATCTAGACGAAAGCAAATGATCATTTTCTGTTTACGACTAGGACATACCCAGTTTTCCCATAAACATGTGTTTAAAAAAGAAGAACGCCCAATTTGTGATCAGTGCGGTTCACCTCTTACAGTAAAACATGTTCTAGTGGAAAAGTGTGAAAAGTTCAATATCCATAGAATTAAATACCGTTTACCAAACAATATTAAAGACATTGTAAACTCAAATAACAATATTGATAAACTACTTGGTTTTAAAAGATTGTAATTTCATAAGTAAAGTGTAATTAATTTTTACCGTTCCGCTAATAACCTTATTAGGTTAAAGTGGGTTTTTGTAAATATTACCAAAACTTGGTACAAGCATGATAATAATTAACACTTTTGCCATCAATAAACATAAATGTCATAGTAAAAACAATTGAAAGTGCGCAGCCTGCTTGTAACACTGAAGCGAGGGAGATGTTAATTTCACTATTGTTAAGATTTTATAATATCTGGAAAATACCCATTTAAGACATTTCTCGTTAAAAACTATCTTTAGGGATTTTTGCTAAACCGTATTCATTGTTTGCCAAATTTGTAAAAAAACCGGAAACAAAAATCAAAGAAGTAAGGAAATTTAAGGCCCGTTTTTGTTATATAATATATCATATATAACAAGAAGAAACAGCGCAAAACTACAAAGAGATAAAGAAAATACCCAAAATGCGATCGAAAACTATATGGCAAGAAGAAGGGAAGTGAAAAGAATTTGCAGAAAAAAAGAAAAGAGAACAGCTAGAAAAGCAATTGAAAAACATAGAACAACCCTACATAAACACAGAGGTAAAGAATTTCTACCAAGAAGTTAAGAAATTACACAGAAACTACAAAGAATAATCCACAGTATTTCTGAAACAAAAGAAGGGTTACTTCTAGGTGAAACAACAGAAAAATTAAACATATGAGCGGAATATTTTGAAGATCTATTAAATACAGACCAACAAGAGAAACTCGAGGGAAATTAAAATTGACAAAAAGATGAAGAAGAGACGTACGAGGAACCAACTTTGAATGAAGTCAAAGAAATAATAAGAGAACAAAAAAATAACAAAAGTACAGGAGAAAGTGGTACCTCAGCTGAGATTTTTAAGGAAGGTGGCGAAAGATTGAAGAAAAGGATATTTCACTTGACACTAATAATTTGGCAAATGGAAGAAATACCGAAACAATGGAATAGCTTATCCTATTTATAAAAAAGGAGACAAAACGGAGTGCGAAAACTATAGAGGTATAGCACTATTAGAAGTAGTCTATTAAATACTTGCAAAAATTATTAGAAAAAGATTAATAAAATATGATAACAACTTGTTTTAAGAATACCGGGAGATTTTAGATCAGGAAGTATGTTAAAATTAATACAAAATAATAGTTACGAACAAAACTTAGGATTACATATGCTATTTATTGATTTTAAACAAGCATATGACTCCCTAAATCGAACGATGCTATATGAGGCCATGAGAACATTAAAAATAAAGGGAGAATGAGATGAATAGGGTAACAATGAAAGGAAGCTATTCAAGACAGTTCACAGTTAATGCAGGTTTAAAACAAGGGGATCCGCTATCAACGAATTTATTCAACCTAGTATTAGAACAAATTGTAAAATCAAATATAACCACAAACAGGACTATTTTCAATGCAAACAGAAGAAGCGAAAAGATACGCATTAATAATAAATCAAACAAAAACGCAATGTATGGAGAAGGAGCAGAGACTGTCTATAGTTTTGAAAAATTGTCACAATTTAAATACTTAGGAGTAACCATAACGAACACGGGAAAAGAAGAAAAAGAGACAAAAGATTAGTGAAGGGAAGCAGAGCGATAGGGTCACTAAATTCATTACTGAAAGCAAAAAATGTGTCAAGAACAGCTAAACTGCAAGTCTACGAGACAGTACCTAATCAGACCCACAGTGATGTATGCCAATGAAAGGTGGATTATGAACCAGCATGAAGAAAAGAAAGTAGATTTCTGACAAAAAAGGTGCTCAGAAAAATCTTCGGAGGAATGAAGACGGCAGAGAATATTTGGAGAAGACGAACGAATAAAGAAATAATGAGTATGTATGGAAAACCAGCAATTACAGCAAAAATACGAGCCCAAAGAGCTAGATGGCTTGGTCACACTATACGAATGCAGAGAATCGAAATGTTAAAACAATACTGAAGGAGGGAGAAATGGGAAAAAAAGAAGGGGGCGTCCAAAGAAGAAATGGTTGGAAGCAGCAAAGCAACACTTGTCAGAAATATGCGTGAGAAATTGGAGAGAAAGCAAGGGACTGAAAAAAATGGAGGGAAATATCTAAGTTTTTAGAAGCCAGGGGCCTACAAAGCCTATAGCTGCTATATATTTATATATTTATATATATATATATATATATATATATATTATATATATATATATAAATATATATATATATATATATATATATATATATATATATATATATATATATATATATATATATTTGAGCTTTGAGAATATCTTTTCATTTTGGAAAGATATTCTCAAAGCTCAAAAAATTGACCGTTGAAAAATATTTATTTTGTATTATCTTTTGTTTTAGAACGGCTTGAAGGAATGGTCTTATACGTTCATACTCGGCGGATGCGTGTACATTGGAACTGGAATAATATTTATCTTGTTTGGTAGTGTTGAGGAGCAACCATGGAATAGGATTGCAGATACAGAAAATAATTAGAAAATCTTAAATCAGTACAAAGTGTTGATGTCAACTGGTTTTCTTTAATTGTGTAGACCTCTTTAAATGGTTAAAATTATAGCTAGCATTACATCAGAACTATTTTTGAGAAATTTTAACAATTTCAGCTGATAGCCCTGTTGCTTGATAAGGCATTTGCCAAATATTTTATATAAATTTACATGGTAACTATATGACTGATCCCCAGGCTAACAACGATCTTTTTTATATTAAATTAGAAAATAAAAGAAATGAATAATTTAAAAAGAAAAGTCTTATTCTTTCCATAATCGCGTTTTCTTTTATTTTTTAATATTCAAAAATTAATTTTACTACTTTCTTGTATACCTCACAATTTATGTACGCAAATATACATATCTTTTTTCTTTGTACTCTTATTTTAATAAAAACAAAAGCTTGGTTTTATTTCTTGTTTTTATATTTTACGGAAAAGAAATTTCGTTTTATTTTCCGTCTATAAACTATTCCAAAAACATAAGACTTATAACGGACAATCATTCGGAAAAAGTGATATATATAAGATAAATGGACAACAGTGATAGTGAAGAGAAAAAATAAATTATAAAATTGGTGAATTCCATAGTAAAAAACAGAAATTGAGGTTACTAGCAAAAGATAGAAACAGACGGTAAAGAGAATACGTCAGATTATGGAAAAAGGCAAGAGATTATATATCCACATTTATGAAAAGTAAGAAAACATTAAGATCACCTGCTAGCCGAAAATGGGAAAACGAATCAAAGTGACGACGTAGGTAATGCACACTTACTAAGAGAAATGTACAAAGAGTTAACAGAAATGACAAAAGAAAATGGAGAATATAAAGAGATAATAGAATTAAAAAAGTCTAGAGCTGAAAATAAAAGAGGAATTAGAAAAACAAAGCAACGTCTAATCTAATAGATTAGAAATACTCGAAAATGAAGTGAAAAGAAATAATATTGTAGTAAATGTCGGATTGTAGATTAAAACACTCAAACACTTTCTTCATTAGCTTTATTTTGTACTCAAAATTAATACATAAAATATGTTTTAACTGTAGTGGCGGAAATTTCTAGAAACGGTAAAGCCTCACCAAACAAAGCAGTGGCGTTCCAAAAAATACTTTTAAATCAAATTGTTAAAGATAGGTACACACAATTTATTAACAATGATATTAGATTATATTTTTGGTAATATTGTACTACATTTAATACATATTATAATATATCACATACATATATTGTCTGTATGTGAAACTATAGATACGTATTAGAGATTACAATATTAATAAATATTAATTACAAAGATTATTTTAACTTTCAAACCTTTATTATTTATATTATTACTCACTTAAACATCACAAAGTTAAATAGAAGAATATACGAAATGATTGTAATAAAGTAAAAAAATAATACAGACATACAGGACAGTTTGGAAAACTTATATTCACTTAGGTTACATAGGTACATCGTAATGTTAAATTGTATTGTTCACTTTAATAATCAGATGCACTGTCGTCGTCACTAGAATCATTTAAATCAATCCTTAATTCTTCAGTAATTACGTCTATGCGACGTTCACTTTCCAAATACTTATCTTCAACCATGACATCATGTTCACACACTTTCTTCTAGTTATCTACAGTTACTCAAGCAAATTACTGTTCTACCGACACTTTTGCGTCTTCTAATTTAAAATAAACGTTTTATTTTGTAACTTCCTTTTTTATTTACGTCCAAACCAATTCTATAGGGTTCAAGTCTGGATGATATGGCGGAGGTTTTAAAGAAACATGTCCACAATTTTGCAGCACTTTGTCAAATTTATATTGAATATGATCTCGTTTGTGTCATTTGATGATTTCATACAATTGCGGTTTTAACATTGAGGTTACAAATGGTAAATTTCTTTTCTGTCAACCAAGGTATCATATCTTGGCTTCTGACTTAAAAATCAAAAGGCCATTCTGTATGAAACCCATCTTCCTACCACCATGTACCGTTCGCGTCATAAAAAACTGGTACAACTCTTATAACGGAAAATCGTGTTTTTCAAGCTGTGTAAGTTGATCTAGTCACATATGCCATTCTTATTTTTAGGGCAACGTTGCCAGAACAACAAATATATTATATTAAACCAGCTAAAAGTAAGACTTAAATCGTGTTTTATTATAATTTATGAAAATATTTCAATTCAAAAAAATTGTTAGATAATAAAAAATCTTGAAATAACTTTAAATTATTATGTTTAATTTCAAATGGAGAGATGATTTCAAAACTGTATTGAGTTGTGGCATACTAGAATAAATAAAACACGCTGAAAAAATTAAATATATGTATTACAATTCGAAACTGCTGAAATCTTTGAAATATTAATATTTTATCATATCTCCATTATTGCAAAATTCTTCAAACATTTTGGACATTAACGCAACAGTCTCTCTGGTTATTAAATTTATTAGATACCGTTTTTGTTGTCAATGATAAAAATAATATATATCTAAACACTTTATTATACATTTTTAACGTTATTTTTTTTTTTTATTTAGATTTAGTGCAAGTCCGTTATCTGTGATGGCAACGAATTGATTCACGAACCATTGTATCCAGTCTGAACACTAGTTTACATTGGGAAAAAATTTTATATGACGGGAATGTAATTTAACCGACCTACTTCATTTTGAAATGTTTTTGAACAATCTGAAAGTCCTGCATGTACATAGGTTTCATCAACATACACAATTGACTTACCTTCGCTTCTGTAATATTTAATTTTGTCCAAATATTTAATGCGTAGAGCACGAATATCATTCCATTCCATTAATAAACGTCGATTATGTTTCGTTTTCTTCCATGTAAATTCCGAATCTTTTACAATTCTGTAGAGTGAACTCCAGTCCACTCGTACACCTCTGTAAGCCTTTTCTGCAAAAGCTTCAATGATACACGAGTTCAGTATTCACACTAAAAGTTAGAAGGGAAATATTGGCTCATAAATAAATATTGAAACAAATGTCTGAAAAATAATAACATAGTAATAAGAAGTTTAAACAAGTTAAATGAAGCTATAAAAATAACCAATTTTGGAAGAATAAAGCTATACCAGACTATTCATTAGCGTATACAGACATACTCAAAACATCAAAAAATATAATCCGATACAAAATTAATCCCATATATGAAGTAGAAAAAAAAATCTGTTATATCCTATTACAATTAGGAGCCTAGAATATGAAAAATATGAAATTGAATCTAATGAAATGTTTTTAGCAAAATATGGTGGAATATATAGTAATCATAACTATATATATATATATATATATATATATATATATATATATATATATATATATATATGTTGTTTAAATAGTTTGATGTAACTACAAAAAACAAACTTTCAAACTGATGTCTAACAATATGCCTTTTGTGATTACAAGTAGTAGTACTTAAAATCACAAACGGCATAGTTACATCGAACTATTTAAACAACAATAGTTCCTCCTACTACCTCTTTCTGTTCGTGAGATGTGACTGAATTCAAACCTGCGAAGACGACTGTTTTTTGTCAAACATGTCGTCTTATTTTTTACTTTTTAAACTTTGTAACATGTTCTTTAATTTTTAAGTTATTTTAAAGTTTTTAAGTTTTAATGCCTTCAGTAATTCAGATCACATTATGTTATTTAACGTTGTGTTTTATATGCCATGAATCTTACTTTCTGGTAAGTTTTTATAACTTTTATATTACATCAGCCTAATTTTATAACACAGTAATTTTCATTGTAGACCTTGATAAAGGTGGCAAATAACCACCGAAAGCTCGGATTTCAGAATAAATAGTACGCCTTGGCAAAGCTCTGTTTTTTATTGACTACCACACCCAAAAAGAAAAAAGTATTTACATATTTTTTCCAAACTAGTCAAAAAATTTTGGACTACCTTATATATATATATATATATATATATATATATATATATATATATATTATATATATATATATATTATATATATATATATATATATATATATAGATGGATCTATCGACCCACAAACAAACCAATCTGGATTTTATATACCACAGATTAGTTACAAATTTTCATCAAGACTTTATAGTTACACACAAATCTACAAAATTGAAATAAAGCTATCTCTGTGTGCATTGAGAAGGAGATCATGAAAGCAGTTATCTTTGTGGATCCAAAAAGTGCTTTATCCAAAATTTCCAATCTCAAATGGGATCAAATGGATTATGTAAACATAATGACCAAAAAATTATTGGTAGAAGCTAATAATATGGGATTCTCAATAGGAATAGAATGGGTACCTGGACATCAGAGGATTAAAGGTAATGAGGTAACTGATAGATTGGCGAATATTGGGAGAGAATTAAGAGCACCATATGATATAAAAAAATGTTAGTACAGATATCTTTTGCGTTACAAAAAAAAAAAAAACATTTTAACACAATTCTACAATGAATGGCATTCCCAAATTAAAGATAAAGATCCAAACTATTGCAGTGTGATTTACCCAGAAAACCATGGTATGCCAAATGTGGGTATATGGGCAGAAATACTATAATAAATATTAATCGTTTACGTAGGGGACATTGCAAAACTCCTTGCTATCTCTACAAAATAGGTAAAACTGAAACACCGATATGTGAATGTGGAACCATTAGAACAGTGATCCATATCTTCTTTGAATGTCCCATAAACAAGAAAATACTGGAAATATACTAACATACAAAAATTTACGTCCTTAAAATCCTTAATCCTAACCGAAGGTAGCATTACCCATAAACTTAATGTGACAATGTTTGAAAGCTACCCCAAACGAGAAAAATCTAATCTAACCTTAAATGAAGAAGATAAACAAATATAAAAGGTGATCTTTCAGTATTACCCAGCTGTCAATTAGCAGTAAACAGAAGTAGGAATTTATCCCTGGTTGTGCATTGCCTAGAGCAAGACGAGCATAACCTTACACGTACTGGGTAAATGATTATATAATCGAAACCAAAAAAAAACGAAGAAAAAGACTTCAAAATCAAAAGGGCATTCTGTATGAAACCCATCTCCCTACCACCATGTACGATAACCAACCTACTTGCTTTTGAAATATTTTTGAACAATCCTTTGCCTCTGTCATCTGTCCAGCTATTTGGCGTAGTATGTCCTGCATGTACATAGGTTTCATCAACATATACAATTGACTTATCTTCGCTTCTGTAATGTTTAATTTTGTCCAAATATTTAATGCGTAGAACACGAATATCATTCCGTTCAATTAATAAAGGTCGATTATCTTTAGTTTTCTTCCATTTAAATCCCAAATCTTTCACAATTCTGTAGAAAGAACTCACACTTCCAGTCCACTCGTACACCTCTTCAAGCCTTTTCTGCAAAAGCTTCAATGATACATGACAACGTTCAGTCTCATATAAACGATGAATGGTATTTCTAATGAACTGTTTGTCATAGTCAATCAATCAATCAATAATGCCTTTTTATTTCTCAATAAAAAAAATACAATATTCCCTTTTAGTGACATTTGTTCTCCTTGGCACATGCCATCAGGAGGGTTGGCAAACAAATATTATTCGATAATTAATATACAACAAATTACACGAAGGCCTATTCTAAACAAGGTCATTACAATTAATAAAAAATAAATTAAGTAAATATTCATATAAATGTTAGTAATAAACTAAATGTATATATCCTACTTAGTCTTTGCACTAGACTAAACAATAATAACAGTGTATAACAGTAAGGTATAGACTGCATTTGAAAAAATCCCCCCTTAGAGGGAGTGAGAGCTGTTGATACAATAATAAAAATAATAACAATAATAATAATAACATAATTAGTCAAGATAAACCAGACATAAAAAGATAATAGCTATACGTAAACAAATTATTAATGCTAATTTTAATATTTTCATCCTATTGAACTAACACCATGCTAATAGATTTAGTAATTAAATAGGCTCACTAACTCATACCTATACACCCATGCCTCTCTACAATAACCTGCTAACTCAGCCTTGCCCTGTCTCATCATAGTAACTACTTTCACTCTACTAAGTTCATGTCTACCCAACCACTTTAACCTAATATGTTTCAACACCGAACATTTTCCCAAAAAATGTATCACATCTTCCCTTTCCTTCGTGTTACACATTGAGCAAAATCTTCTTTCATCATTTCTGCCAGGTCGATCATTTAAATATAGAACTCCACATCTTAATTTACAGAGCCATCGAATGTCCCCAACATTTTCCATTTCCAGTAGATAATGCATGTTTACTCCTTCTTTCCGCAGTTCTTTGTAGTGTCCACAAAAATTTGATTTGAGTGTCCTATTCTCAGCCTGACGCTGTATCTCCTCTTTCTTTTTTTCTATAATATTCTCAATCATACTAGGTCAGCTATCTCTTCATTCCCACTCACACCTTACGTCAATACCAAATTTTTCTCCCATACTTATCCAATCTTTCCACCAGCCACACCTTGCTCTCATCATTTATTTCAAAAAAAAATTTGGCAACCTATCATTCGTATATCCTAGTATTTTTTTAACATACTTTTTATGTAAATTCATCGGAAATAGGCTGACTCTAGCAATACCTGTTTCCAAATCTAATATAAAGTTAGGACAATACCTTGGACAAGAAAACATTTTTTTATATATAAAATCTTCTAAATATCTCCACCTCATCGTACTCAAAAAGACCCCATACCTGAGATCCATTTGTCAAAATTGATCTTACCACCGACTCATACACTGTTACTTTAGCCAAAAAGGGTATATAAGCTTTAGACACTAAACTACTCCAAGCCATGTGAATCGCCACTTTTGCCAAACTCTGGCGCTTTTTTAGATGAGCTTCAAACGACAACTTTTGTGTTAGTATTATTCCCAAATAATTATAGTTATTCACTACCTCTAATACTTGATCATTCAGTTTCCATGATTCCATGATCACACCACCTCCTCTTCTGAAGACAATAATTTTGGATTTATCTAAATTTATTTTTAGATTCCACATCCTGCAGTATTTTTCTAGTTCATTATAATCATCTGCTGTAGCAACTTCGGATTGATTGCGATCAAAACCAAATCATCTGCATATAATAAAAGTCTTATAATCAAACCATGTATCTCCAAACCGCCTACCAAAGCTTCATTTAGGTCATTTAAGAAGAGCGCAAACAGTAATGGACTTAAAAGACATCCTTGTCTTACTCCTACATTACAGTCAAACCATTCAGATAGACCTTCCCTTGACCAGATTGCCGATTTTGTATTCGCAAACATACTTTTTAACAAATTCAGCACTTTAGTAAATAAACCTAAATTACTCAACTTAAAAGTGCTCGCCGATCAACTGTATCAAAAGCAGCACTAAAGTCCACAAAAAATGTATAAACATTTTTTACTCCCTGTGTATGTTGGATTTTTACTATACTCTACTATACTGTAAGATTAAAAATGTTGTCTATAGTTGAATAGCCGGTTGTATATCCTGCCTGGAACTCATTTAAAATGTTATTATTTTGTAATATCTCGATAACTTTCTACACTTTCCATGTTTCCTTTCTTATAAAGAGGAAAAGTTATTTTAGAAAAACCCTGAGGAAAGTCTGGATTGACGAAAAAATTATTAGCAAGCCCAAGTACAAGCACTTTTCTGTTTTCTGGAAGAAACTTG